AAAAACTTTTCCTTCATTTGGCGATAGCAAGAAAACAACAACAGCGAAAACAAGAAAACAATAACAACAACAAAAACAGCATCAACCAAAACACCATCGATAATAAGAACAACAACAGGCAAGCAGAACAACAAGCAAACAGTAACAACCACAACAAATACAGTCAACAACAAGTAACCAGAACAACAGCAAACAACAACAACCAACACAGGCAAGCAGAACAACAACAAACAACAACAAGCACAACAAATAACAACCAACAACAGGCAAGCAGAACAACAACAAACACAACAAATAACAACCAACAACACGCAAGCAGAACAACAACAAACAACAACAACCAACAACAGGCCATGCAGAACAACAACAAACAACAACAACAACAACAGGCAACCAGAACAACAACAAACACAACAGGCACAACAAATAAACAACCAACAACAGGCAACCAGAACAACAACAAACACAAAACAAACCACAACAAATAACAACAACCAACAGGCAACAGAACAACAACAAACAACCAACAACAAATGACAACAACCAACAACAGGGCAAGCAGAACAACAACAAACAACAACATCACAAATAACAACCAACAACACGCAAGCAGAACAACAACAAACAACAACAACCAACAACAGGCAAGCAGAACAACAACAAACAACAACAAGCACAACAAATAACACCCAACAACAGCAGGCTCCGAGAAAGGCCGACACGACAAGGGTTGAAGCGCCCGCGCCATCGTCTCGAAAGGGAGGCAAAGAATAAACAGATAAATCACACATGGCGTCACACACTCGAAAATATATATCCTCCTTTCATGACAGCTTTCCCCGCGGCCCCGAAAGCGAGCTGTTCCCATAAGGTCTATGTTGTTCTAAAGGAATAACACGGGACGTAAACATATTTCTTTGTCTTGGGTATTTTTTCGATTCGTATTATTTTGAGCTCGTTTCCCCCACTTTTGGTTTTATGGTGGATTGGGATGTCGTTGTATGGATTGGGTTCTTGGTATGGATTAGTGTAGATTTTGGTCCTTATATATGGGTATAATTCAGTAGCTTAAATTATGGGTTTGTTTTCCCCCCATGCGGCGAAAGAAACATCGTACGTCTGGCAACGTCGCGAAGCAGGTCAGCAGGTGGCGGGAAAACGAATTCTCATTTAACCAATAACGTCACTTATCAGCAGAAGAGAGAGAGAAAAAATGTGAAAAATAGAAGATTTGGAAGAGGTAAAAAAAAAAAAGCAGAAGAAAAAAAAGGGAGCGAAAGAAAGAGAGAGAAAGCGAGAGAACGAGAGGAGATAAAAAGAGGCGGGAAACCCCCCCCTCCCCTCCCCCCCCACCATTCATCCTAATCCGGGACATACGACAAACGGACATCTATAAAATCAGGAGCGTCTTTCTCCCGCCAAGAATTTCCGAACGCTTTAGGCAACGGCGACGACTCCCCCGACCATTTCCTCTACCTCTCTCCGGCGGGACCGAATAAGACCCGCGCATCATTTACATGAAAACATCATTTTTTCACCAATAAAACATATAATCATCGGCGATAAAAAATGGACACAGCGTCCCGCCACCGACCAAGTGTGACTAGATTTGTGCGACGCCATTTTTCTTCCCGAGATCTGGTGAGAGCAGCAATTTTAGATCTCATGCGGTGCCGGAGAGGAATATGTCCGCATCTAAAACATATCATGGGAGCCCGGGAGAAGGAGGAGAGGGGAAAGAGGGGGAAGGGGAGGAGAAGAGGGAATGAGGGGAATGGGGAAGAGGGGAGTGGGAGGGGAGGATGAGAGGGGAATGAGGGGAGGGGAGGAGGAGAGGGGAATGAGGGAAGGGGAGGAGGGAGAGGGGAAATGAGGGGGGAGGGGAGGAAGGAGGGGGGGGGAGAGGGGAATAGGGGATGGAGGGAGAGGGGAAATGAGGGGAAGGGGAGGAAGGAGAGGGGAATGAGGGGAGGGGAGGAGGATGAGGGAAATGGAGGGAAGGGGAGGAGGAGAGGGGGAAATGAGGGGAAGGGGGGAGGAGGGAGGGAGGGGGAGAGGGAAATATGGGGAAGGGGAGGAGTAGAGGGAAGGAGGAAGGGGAGGAGAAGGGGAAAGGGAGGAGGAGAGGGGAAGGGAGGGGGAGAGCGGAAATGAGGGGAAGGGAGAGGAGAGGGAAATGAGGGGAGGGAGGAAGGGAGGGAGGTTGGGGAGCGAGGAAAGTGGGGGAAGGGTGTAAGGGGGATTGGGGAAAGATGGAATGAAGGAATTAGGATATGGGGAAATGAGGGAGGAGATTGGATTGGGAAATGACGGAGGGGTAGGTAGGGGAAACGGTTAGGGGGTTGGGAGAGGGGAAAGGAGGGGGATTAGAGAGAAGGGAAATGAAGAGAAAGGAGGGGAAATTGGAGGGAGAGAAATGTAAGGGGAAATGAGGTTATTGGGGTTGGAGAGAGGGAAATGAGGGGAGGAGGAGGTAGGGGGGAATAAGGGGAGTTGAGGAAGGGAGGGGATTGAGGAGAGAGGAAATGAGGAGGCCCAGAATGGAGGGAAAAGGGAGGGGAGGAAGAAATGAGGGAGTAGAAGAGGACTGGAGAATGGGAGTAGAGAGGGAAATGAAAGGGGAGTGGAAGGAGGGCGACAGGAGGG